CCGGGGACATCGACCTGCCACCGGAACTTCTTCTGTCCTGGCCAGAGTGTTTGGGAACGATCCGGGCGAAGTAAACTTATCTGAGGGGTCCTCGTACCGGCAGCAGGTCGTGAAATTCCATGCCGGCGATCTGCACCATCTTGTGCTCGTCGTCCTAGGCAAGACAGATATATATAATACGATCCATTTATGCAAAGTCTCCAAAAACCCCGACCTGAGGCATGCCACACCATCGCATGGCAAAGCAAGCCATGGCTGCACCGGAAAGCCCACAAGGCCCTCAACCCTTCAAAAAGTGCATGCAGTGCATGCCAGCCTGCACATGTGGCCCATGACCTGATATGTGCATTGCATTGTGGCCCACGACCTGATGTTTGCATGCCACATGCATCAAAGGATGTTTGAAGTTTGCATGCGGCATGCATGCATGCATGCATCGACCCAGAAAAGAGCCTGAATCGGTCCACGATCGAGTGTTTCAACTGCAAATCAGCAACGACATGAAGAGCTGCACACCATGGAACACAGCATGCAAACAGTTTGGCACCTGAGGCATCGACTCACTGACTCGGTCTGCCTCTCTTTTTCTCTTTCTTTCTCTCTCATACATATATGTTTATGTCTCCATATAATACATTATATATATATATGTATATAATCTCTGTCTGTCTCTCTCTCTCTCTCTCTCTCCTCCATCTCTCTCTCTTTGCTTCTGTTCAATTTTTTATACCCAATCAAGCCGGCCATCGAACTGGGCACCACAAAAACTCACTCATCCTCTTCCTCGCCCTCGCCGTCCTCGTCATCATTATCAGCGGCTTCCTGGTTGTCATCGTTCTTCTTACCCTTCTTGGCAACCTTTCTCTTCTTCTTGGGAGTGGACTCGCTGGAGCTGCACTTTTCCCGCAGGAACTTAATGTTGTCCTCCGTGAATTCCACCCAAACTGAAGACGACCCCAACCCCTCCAACAGCATGGTAATGGACTTGCCATGGAATTCCACCTCCATCGACAAAGGGAGCATGACGGCATGCTTGGACTGTGCTCGAACAGGCTTCTCCTTCTTGGGCTTGGGATTTTCCGACTCCTCCTTCAGGGCATCCTGCAGCAGCATGTTGGCACGTTCTTGTCGTAGTTGCACGAGCTCGTCCCATGCTGAGCATGCCAAGGATCCTGCACTGTCCTTCTTCTGCTTTCTCAGATCTAATGCTTTTCCGGAAAGCAATCTGACACTGGTTCGGTCCCACTTCTGCAGGCAAATGAAAGGAACGTCTTGCACGAGCTTCTGAGTCGGGACGAAGGGAGCAGACTTGCCAAGCTGAACCACATACTTCTGTGTGATGCGAATCTCGTCCATGCGATTCTCGTCCATGCTGAGCTCGACAATGGGACGGGTGAAAGGATGCGAGACTTCTAGAAACACTTGAGAGCGAGCTGGGCACAACAGCATGCCTTCACATCTCCTGCATGCACATGCATGCAGAGCTGCCTGCGAGCTGAAAGCCCTGCAAGCGACACGTACAAAGATTGCAAAGCACTGAAGGCACATTTCATGCTGCACACCACTCAAACCTCTGTGCAGGGAAGTCTTCCCTGAGATCGAAATCGCATGGATCCATGCTGGGCAAAATGCAGACATGTAACGAAAGCCACACCTCAAGGCAGCCGAGCACTTTTTCATGTATACTTCACATCTACATGCATCTTTAAATATACATATGTACATTTAAGTATATACCGATCTACATCTATGATAAACATATAGATTTAGCTTTAGGTGGCTCGGGCATGATGCCGAGATCGGATGCATCTGCTCTGTGCGCCTACTGCTTGGTTCTCAATCTCTTGGGTGCAGCTGGCATCTCAAGATCATCCCGAGTGGCCTTCTTCGGCATGAACTGGGACAAATGATCGCCTGGCGATAGGAGGATGTTGTTTCGGAGTAGTGGCACCCGGATGTTGCTAGTCTTCGTGCCAGACCAGCTCAGCTCCATGTTGGTGGATCCTGCATCTTCCGTCATGTTGACGAGGAAAAACGGGGAGATGCAGCACTTGCCCGACCCCATATCCTCGTCGCCCTTTGGCAGCTGCACACATGACGAGAGCCAGAATTGGCGATCGTCGAGCTTCCATGGGGTCTGCACTTCCACGGCATTCGCTAAAGAGCCTTGGGATTTCAGCCTGTGAATGATCTTCCAGCTCACTGGCACAAGCACCAGTTGGCCTTTGGTGAACTTTTGCTTGACTGTCAAAGCCTTGTGAGGCTTCATTTGCAAGCTGAGCTTGCCGAGCACCCCATCAACATCATGCTTCTGTGCCAATATGTCCAACTCTTTTTGGATGTCTGCGACCATGAGAGCAGCCTGATACTCCAGAGATTGGGAGAAGCCCAGCATGGACAAATCCTCGAGAACCTCTGCTTCCTTCTTTGGGGTGAACAAGATCCACCCACCAGCAAGGAACTGATCGCTGGCAACCTTCATGAAGCCTTTCTTCTGCAGATCCTGCAGTTGAAGTTGGGAGCCCTTGATGTGCTTGATCCGGCACTCCAACTTGTCCGCTTTGCGACGAACAAAGGCATCGACCACGAAGCCTGCATCAGTCAGCAAGTCCTCCGCATTGCGGAGTGACCCATCCGGGTTCAGCTCCCTCATCCTCTCAGCTGCTCCCTGGGCCGATGACTTGCCATCGGCATTTGCTTCAGCAAATGCCGCCCACGGACTCTCCAATCCCAAGAGCAGGCAAGCATCGTGTGCGATGCCTTGGACGGCCCTATAGCTTTTCTCCTGCTCGGCACGAGGAAGCCCAAGGCAGAGCCTCACGACATTCATGTCCACCACTCCCAAGATGTTCACGAAGCTGACATCCCTGAAGACGTCAACACCCTTCTTGACCATGAGCTCCCGAAGTTCGCACAACACTTGGTTCCCCTCCAGAACCTTCTTCTCGCAGTCTCGGGCGAACATCTTCCGAGCTGTGCTTGCGGTGATCCCACCCCCTGACAAAGCCAGCTTCAGCAATGCATGCCGGAAATGAGGGATCTGCTCCTGGCCTTTCTTGAAGTCTTGGGAGAGCACCTCCCAGAACTGCAATCCCAAAGCTCTTGTTTGGCCTGAGCTCCTGACGAAGATCTCGCTTTCTCGTAGAAAGCCGCCGTCCGCCCCCCCGCAGAAGCGGAGGGCGAAACTGTAGAGAGCCGGAAAGCAATCGCCACACGGTGGCTTCGAGCTCAGGGCCACCTTCTTGATGTTCTGGAAGTCCGGGGAGCTTTCACGGCTTGCCAAAGAGAAGATGCGGCGAAGAAGCTGGAGTTCACTCTCACTCTTCTGCAATGTCGCATTCTGTGATGCTTGAACGAGCTGGACAATGCTGGGAAAAGCCTCGCCGACTTCTTTGGAAATGACTCGCCAAGTAAGCCCAAGCTCCACGTGTTCTGCCAGGGCTGCATCTCGAGCCCTGACTTGCTGAAGGCTTAGCATCCCATTCACAGAAAGCTCTGTCGACTCGTGGCGAGCCGAACATGCCACCAGTCTGAGGGCAAAGTTAGTATGAGATGCTGACAGGCTGAGTACTTTGAGGAGTTTGCTGTCCATGGTACCAAGCGAGCCACCGGCACCATCAACCATTCGTTGGTTGTAGATGCGGTGGTCGTCCGAGCCTATCTCGATGCCGATGGCATCCACACGGGCAGGCACAAAGCCCACCTGAGCGATGCTGTCGAGGAGCTGGTGTACGTCGCCCGCATTCAACATCAACCCGTCCCGGTTCTGCGGGTGAACCCCCACTGAAAGTGGGGGTATACGCATCTCTGTCAACAAACCAGAGCGGCGAAGAACGACGAAGAGGTCGGCGACCGACTTCACAAGGAACTCGCCTCCCTCTGTCTTCCGCAGTACGGCTGCGATTTCCCCGTAAACTTCAGGCGACAGCGCCATTGCACTTTGTTCCACCTAGAAGTACACTGAGTTCTCGAGCAGAGAAACTTCGTCGGTATATACACATGGTCACATGATGGTTTTCTTGCCCTTCTTGCCCTGCAGGCGAACTAAGTATATACTGCCTGCGAGCATGCATGCATCTTATGAAAAAAAATATAGTGTTTGCTGGCATGGCTGCCTGTGGAATTAAAGCTTTATTGCCCTGCAGGCGAAAATATACTGCCCGCGAGCATCGATACATATACCAAAAAGAACAGCACCTAAGCACACTTGGCCTGTTTACTTAATTGTGCTAAATGGCACGACCTCAGTTAGCATTAAGTATGCTAACTTGGCTAAGTAAAATATCCATATCTTGTCTATCCTGTCTAATCACTTACAAGCAACAACATCTGATTGTTAAATGACCCCGTCCATTTACTAAACAAGCCATCTGCACTGCTGCAACATAGCCTACTTATAAGTATACTAACAACAACTTAGCCATGATAATAACCATGGTTGCACAAGATACTTAACCATGCTAAGCACTGTAATCATTTATAACCACCCCGCCCTTAGAAGTACCGGGAGGTCTACACAGCTAGTGGGGTTCCTAGGGGTGTGTCCGTAGCGCGCATAGACACCAGCTCTTCCGAAGAAGACACAAGGCAGCGGGGTGCTGCCTCAGGCGCACCGGCAACACCTAGGGCACCACCACAAAGGCGACCGTTCCAGCAGGCAGAGATCGTTGAGGCCGAGGTGGAAGAGACAGCGGCCTTAGGCCAGCGGCGGCCTGCGACACCTGAAGGAGAGCCTCCAACGAGGCGCCCCCGTGTGGTCCTTACCCCCGCTTCTAAGGCACCCGGTGTCCCCACCGCAGCCAGCGCACCATTAGGGTGCCGCGCCCGCCTCCGAAGGCTAGGCCCAGGACAGCCGAGGCAAGCACAGGCATAGGTCAGGCCAGGCGAGGTGCAAAGGCAGAGCCCATAGAAGCCGTTGAGGAGGCAGGGCCCAGAGAGCGCACAAGAACCCCGCGCCGGGCAGAGGCAGCTCCCCCAAAGGGTGCTGCGCACCGGGGTCGATGGCGCAGCGGGTCGTGGCCACCCAAGCGGCACGCATCTTCTTCACCAGAGGGTGCAGCTTCTGAGGGCGATTCCCCAAGGTCACGCGCACCGGTGACGAAGGAGAGTCTGCCAAAGGCGCGGCAACCACAGCCGAAGCTTCCCTCAAAGGTGCCTCCGACCGACAAGTACGGGGTTAGGTATAAGTCGCCTGATCCTGCGCCAGCGCCGCCCACGCCAACGGGGTCGGCAGCAACAGCAGCATATAAGGGCCCGCCCCACTCCGTGTTTGTGGCCAATATCAGCAGGGGAGGCCAAGAGCAGCCCAAGGCGAGCACAAAGGCTCCACCGCCGATCGTCACAGGCAATCGTCAGAAGCTAGCGTACCACGCTTGGGCGCAGCAGACGCGTGACGAGGAGAACGCCGAGGCCGCAGCTTCAAGCGCGGCGGCTGCCAGTTCCACGCAGAGGGTGCTTGCTACGCGCACCGAGGCCACTATTGTATTCGACTGGCACCACGTCTTGGACAAGGCCTGGATCGAGTCCAGAGGTGCCACCTGGGACACCAAGCCTGGTTCCCACGGGTATTTCAATACTGAATTTGTGGCCGCGCTAAAGGAATTCTGCGAGGAACACAAGCCACTGCGATTGGCGATTCTGAGTTACAGCACGCAATCCACCGCTCCTTGGTACCGCTTCCACTTCCTCGAGGAGGCCCTAGAGTGCTTAAGGGTGGCGTTGCCTTTGAGCATCAACCTTAGCATTGGGCAGACGTACCAGCGCACAGGACCGGACGGAAAAGCGCAGCAGTTGTGCCAGATAGTGCCGCCAGCAAGCGTCGTGATCGACGACAACCGAGGCATTATCAAGGAGTGCGCCAAAACCGGCGCACTCACGGTACAGGCTCAGAAAGGAGGAGGCGTCGACCAGTTGATCTACGAGCTCAACCAGGCAAGTGCTCTGATCAGGCGCCGTGGGCGCAACAACCTGCCCACGGCTCGTCACCTCGAGCCCCAAGAGCTGCTATACGAGAGGTAGCGCCCTAGGGTGCTGCTTTAGGCGCACCGGGCCGGCTGCTCCAGCCTGCGTGCCGCCACCGTCTTGCCAGCTTGCGGTGCCCGAGGGTGCCGCTCCAAGCGCACCGGGCCACCTTAGTGGTTTAGTGCCTTGGGTTTTGTAGCATAGGGGTTGCAAACGTCAGCTCCCTGCCTCTCGGAAGGCCGCCGGTTCAGCACAACACCTCCTCTCGCAGCGCCCTAGGGTGCTGCCTGTGGCGCACCGGGCCGGGTAACAGGTCTAGGGTGCATTGTGGTTTTAGTGCTGGGTGGTGGTCCTTAGGGGTATTGTACGTTACTTTTGCGTGTGTGTGCTGCATTTTGCGCACAGCCGTCGGCACACACACTTCTTTCAGAGACGCTTGGCGCCCAAACGGGCCAGCCACCGCGTGCGTACCAGTCACAAAAGTCTTTTCGAGAGTGGTTGCGTGAGGGGTCCTGTTTTCTTGCCCCCTCCCTTTTGCCCTAAGGTTCTTTTGGGGATTCTTTCGGGTCCCGGCCGATAGGCGGTTTTCGTAGACAGGGTGTTGTTTGGGCTCAAAGGCTCAAGCTTCAGGAGGTGAAGCCATGCCAGGCATCTCCCCACCATCAGAAGACCGAAGCCGAAGCCGGACATCAGGGGAATCCTCCTTTAGCGACCCAGAGCTTTTTAGCGGCCAGGCCTTGGTCCCGGCAGCAGCAACCATTCTTAGGATCCGCGAACCAGCCCCCACACCACAAAGGAATGAGGGGTATAGCTCGTCCTCCGCGGCGTCTCCCCCACAAAGGGGTCCCGAGCTTAGCGCAACACAAGCAACCTTTCTTGCAGGTGCCGCCGTGACACACGCCCACCACGCCTCCGGCGTTGCCTTGGGTGCTGCGTCCCTCGCGCACCAGGCTGCAGAGAGGGAACAGCAAACAGTTACTCAAGCTAGGGAGGCCGTAATGCAAGCTAGCTTTCAAGCTGCAGCGGCCGAGGCACAGTACCGCGACGAGGCCCAGACGATTGCACGGGCTGCGCAGGGTATCGTGGATGATGCTAGGTATCGAGAAGCTAGCCGTAGGCAAGAAGCCCAATCCGCCATTGATGCCACCACTCGTGAGGCTCAACAACGGGTCTCAATGATTCAAGGTGAGGCCCAGCAAGCCATAGCCCAAAGCAACCATTCAGCACAAGCTAGAATAAGGTTAGTTGAGGGTGAGGCTAGGGGTTTATCAGAAGCTCTCCGGCAAGCCACTTTGGCACGGGAGCAGGCTGAGGTCGATAGGCAGGAAGTGGTCCAGCGTTTGCGACAACGTGACGCTGATATCGTGAGGCTAGCAGACGAGATGGAGTCGATGCAGCGGCGTCACGAGGAGGCAATGGCCGTCATGGCCGAGCGATACCGTGATCTGTCTGCTAAGTTTGTGGAGAGTAGCAACGCCCAAGCGCAGCGAACCCCCACAAGAACCCGTCTCTCCTTTCCGGAGATGTCTTTCTCCCCGGACACAAGCCAAAATGATGCGGTCCAACAACCCGCAACCCCTGTGATCGAGCCAGTGCCTGAGGAACAAGAGACCTTAAGCACCCCGCTTGTCGCACAACCAACAGGCGAGAGCGATGCGCCCCAAGAGGGTGCAGCCGCTGGCGCACCAGGGGGGGAGGCCAGCTCAGCGTCTCCCGAAGATCCACAGCCTATTTCGGTAGACCAAAGGGTTGATGAATTGGCTAAGTTGGTTTCCGATCTAGCGAAGTTGGTCGCAGCTAGTGCCGCGCAGTCTGGTAGTGCAGCCGCGCCTTCGGGTGCAGCCCCAAGCGCACCAGCAGAAGCACAGTCCGACCCACCACCTCAGGTACCCACGTTGAACCTAGGAGGCACCGCTCAAGTCACAGCGCCCCCAGGCTCACCAGGATCAGGCGGATCATCCAGCTCATCGTCCTCATCTGATTCCTCAGCAAGGTCCGAGCACCCAGCATGCAGGATGTGTGGTTCTAAGAAACACGCAGAAGAGGAGTGCCCAGAGCTCACCTGCAACAAGGATGGAGGTGATGATCCAGCCCCTGACGGTGATGGGGCCGCAGCTTCAAGCGCGGCGGCTCCGAAGACCAATGCAGAGCTTGAAGAGGACACCATCAGAGTGAAATCGCTTTCTGATTTATCCTTCCCAAACCCGCCACAAAACGCAGCGCAAGCGAGAGGGTTTGTGAATCAGACCTTGATGGCCATTGGAAAGCTCCAGAAGACCCCAGGCGACGAGGTGTACATCTGGGCACAAGACTGCCTAAAGAAGGAGCCTGCCGCACTTTGTAAGGATGGGCGCTTCCCTCGCCTTGACCGCGAGATCGCCGCTAAGCTTATCAAAGTGTGTCGCCACGGTCGCTTCGGGTTGCTATTCCAGCAGATGGTTGAGTCTGAAAGGCTTAAGTCGGGTGGCATGCCCAATGGGCGCTGCATGCTGCGCGCCATATACAGTCACTTCCAGTTGGAACGTGATCGTATGGGTATGTTAGCGGAACGTAACCTCCTGAACATTAGGATCGGAGGGGATGGTATTTCCCATCTGGAGGCATTTCGTGATAAATATCACTACGTCGCCAATACCATTCCTGTAGAGGATCTCCCTAAGGACAGTACGATCTTCAATCATCTGATCGATGAGTTCGAAAAGGTTTCGGTTCTTAAGCCCAAGGTAGAGAAGGCAAGGGAAGCAAGACCGGGATCACACCGTCGCACTGCCGCATGGTTGTGGAACCGCGTGGACATTGCAATCGACTTGCACCAGCAGCGTGTCAATCGACAGGAGTTCGATAAGTCCTTGCAACAGAAGCCAGAGACCTTGACTTCCACCTCCCAGCCTTCAAAGCCAAGTGTGCCCGCAACACCCGCACCGGGTGCTGCCGCAGGCGCACCGAAAGGAGGCACTACCGACAAGCCGCCGAAGAAGGAGAAGAAAAAGAAGAAAAAGAAAAAGAAAGACGAGGGCGAACCCGAGGTTGAGGTCCCAGGCGCACCTGCCCCAAAGGGTAAGGGCAAAGGCGGAAAGGGCGGAAAGGGCAACGGAACACCACGAAGCCCAAAAGGTGGTGATACGACGCCCAGATCTGCTCAGGCCAAAAGCGCCAGGAACATGACCCCGGAGGAGAAGGCCAAGACACCGTGTATGTTTTGGGCGTTCGGCGCCTGCAAAGGCGACCCCTGTCCGTTCCTTCACGACAGCAAGAACAAGTACACTGGTCCTAAGCCCAAGTCACTTGCAAAGCCAGACGCTAAGGCTAAGCCTAAGGCAAAGGCGAAGGCGAACGCTGCAACGGCACCGTTAATCAATGCTCTCCCCGCCGAGCTGAACCAGGATGGCAAGATCACCTGGCTTTGGGACACGGCAGCAGGTAGGCATTTGATAGGTCGCCAGGCGCTTTCCTCCAAAGCCCTTTCCTGTGTCACCCGCTCCGAGACACCTGTTGGTTTTGCCACTGGTGGCGGCGCGCGTGAAGGCACTCACAGCCTCGCGTTTGAGGGCAGCCGGTTGTTACCTTCAGAGGAGCAGGTCTACGTACTTAAGGAGTGTCCGCCAGCCTTTTCTGTAGGTAAAGCTGTCCTTGACGAGGGATCCTTGTTTGTCTGGGACCCTCGGGAACACCGTCCGTACTTCGTGAAGAAAGAGGACGTGCACCGCTGCAAGCTTCGCATCCCGCGCAAAGCGAGGATCAATGCGACCAGGGTCGTAGAATATGTCCCTCCATTGCGCCCGGCAGTAAGGGAACAGAGCCCAAGCCTAAGCCCCATTACTGCATCGGCATCCCCTGCGCCGAAGGATGATGATACTGTGTCGTTCAGTGATTTCGAGGTCGCAGATCTTGAAGAGGCTGAAGCAAGCTATCCTCGCACAACATCTGGCGATTATGATTGGGAAGCCGACGTCGTCGAGAAGCATGCAGAGAAGAAGGCTGAAGCAAAGCGGCTTTTTCGTGAAGGCGCTGTAGGTGAGACAGCTGCCAGTGAAAGCTCCGAAGAAGAACTTTTTCCTGAACTCTTCAAGGGAAAGCCCGCAAGTACGCAACAGCCTGCCGAAGGCACAACAGCAAAGGAGGCTGCCTCAGGCGCCTCTAGTTCGCGTGAGGGGGCTGCTCCGAGCGCCCCTTCCACAGAGCAACCACCACCGTTGCCGCCTCCTCCAGAGCCCCACTCCAAGACCGAAGAACTTAGAGCCGAAGCCACTTCTGAGAAGCATCTTAGGACCCACTTCCCTAAGAATCCCTTCTGTAAGATCTGTCACATCGCCAAGACCACCTCAATGCGTGTGGCTCACAAGCCCGATGCCAAGGCAGATGACATGATTGATGTCCCCACTGCTCCGTTCCAACAGCTTGCCACTGATGATGTCATCATGGCAAAAGGTGATGAACACCGAGGCATAGGAACAGGAGGGGTTAAGTCACATCATGTAGCAAGGGATGTTTTCTCAGGGGCTAGAGTTGCGTACCCTATGACGCGTAGGGGTGCTGCCCAGCATGCACGCAACTTCCGGCATTTTATAGGTCTAAGAGCAAACGAGATGTCGCCGACCTGCCTCATTAAATTAGATGAAGCTGGCGAGTTGATCGTAGCGGCGGAGGAGGTAGGCCTGACCCCGGAACCCTCTCTCCACGCCTTACTCGAGAGGGATATCCGCGAGGAAAAGGAGTGCTGCCGTGCTATCCACCTCCAGAGTGGACTTCCTTACGACATGCATTCTTACTCGTACCCGTACGCGTGCCTTTCTTTGTCCTTTGACAGGACGGCACCGCTAGGGGGGGTCACACAGTGGGAGGCCCTCACAAAGGAGCCCTTCAATGGGAAGAGGGCCTGTTTTGGGCAACTCGTCTGGTACCGCTCTAAAGGTTCTAAGCGCACTCTTGAACCCAACATGTCACCAGGTCTTTTCCTAGGGTGGCGGATAGACGCAGGCATGCGCTATCGCAATGTTGTTAAGGTTCTTGATTACAACGACTTTCGTGGTAAACGCAACACGTCTGTCCACGACGTGCCAGAACCTGAGTTGTACATAGAGGACGGTCCGCCCATCTTCCCAGTCGCGAATGCAACCCGCAAGGCGCTTGTAGACGGCTCCACCTTGAGTGCTGCCTCCGGCGCACTACCCGAGATCCCATTGCGGGAGATTCCCTTTGCTCTTGAAAGCATCGGGCCGCCGGCGCCCAGAACACCTGGCGTTAGGACGGTTTATATCACCGCCGATAGGATTGTTAAGTTCGGGGAGACTCCGGGTTGCTTAGCGTGTAGGGGAAAGGCCACAAAGCACACCGACACTTGCAGAGCACGCTTTGCCGAACTTGTTAAAGCAGACAAGGAAGAAGCTGCTGCAAGGAGGGCTGCGCTTCGCGCCCTGGGAGAGTCACCAGAGACTCCCGCGCCTAGCGTTGCTCCAGAGACTCCTTTTCCAAGCGCTGCTCCTGAAACTCCTGCTCCAAGCGTTGCACCCAGTACTCCTGTACCCCCAGCTTCCGCTACAGTGAGCGTTGTCTCTGCAGGCGCTGCCTTGCCACCGTGCACTGCCAGTACCACGTGTCTCCTAGACACTGTGCGTGGAAAGGAGAACCTACCTGTGTTTGGTTTAGCTGCTCCCTCTACACCGCGTTTTGGGGAGGACAAACCGCAACGGAGAGGTAACAAGCGGAGTCGAAGGAGAGGGAAGCCCACTAAGCTCACGACTGTCTTTGAGTACGCATGTTCCCCAAACTCAATGTTAGGGCGTGTGAACGAAGAGCTTGGAGTACCCCACGTACGCCTCGCCAAAGAAACTTTGGACGTTGAGAACGAGCTTGTGGCTGCCCAGCTGCACGAACAGTTCAGTGCGTGTCCTAAGAGTCACCTTTGGGTGTCTCTGCCGTGCACCTCTGGATGCCAGTGGCATCGCGTTCAGCTTAAGAGAGGTGGCGGTGAGTATCGCGCACGACTCCTGCAAAAGATTCACAGGTCTAAGAAGTTGTTCGCACAGTTTGTTGAGCATGCTAAGACCGCGCTTGACCTCGGGATTGACGTCACGTTTGAGTGGCCGAGGTATTCCGATTCATGGAAGAGGCCTGATGTAAAGGAGTTCTTTAAGGATCCTAGGTTTAAGGTTGTTGACTTTGATGGTTGTATGTTAGGTGTGTCTGCTTCAGGGGGGCAGCCGGTTAAGAAACCATGGCGCCTCATGACAACATCCACATCTATCGTATCAGCCTTTGAAGGGATCACCTGCAACCATGATCCCAGTGAGCACGTCGAGGCTCGGGGAAAGGATCTTGAACTCACTGGGTTGTACACGCAAGAGATGTGTGAGCGCATCGCCTTTGCCATCAACCCCAGTAGGGCCTATATCTCGGTTCCTGCGATGCCGATCTTACCCACTTCCACAACCACTGAACACCGCGAAAAAGAACAGGAACTGAAGCACGTTTCCGCTCTGAGCGGATACGAGGACCTTGCCGCCGTAATAGAGTCCGACCAGGAGGCTTCTAAGCTCGTAGAAGAGGTCGTCGACCTTTCCGCCCTTATGTGTGCAGTTCATGGCATACCTAAGGAAGCACCCTCAAAGGAGGTGTCTGCAATGGTGACGAAACTTCTCTCTCGGGCCGAAATGCTCTCCTCACCTGAGGCCCTCAATGCGGTGAAACAGGAAGCAGACGGTCTTCGCGCAGTTCCAGTGTGGGACGAAACGAACCCGCAGGAATACGCTAGCGTCCAAGCGCAAGCGCGCCGCACGGGCACTAAGGTACACTTCGGCAAGCTGATGAGCATTGCGTCCATCAAGTTTTGGGAACTTGCCAAGCACCTTCAGAAGGTTAAAGGCCGAATCGTGTACCGGGGTGACTGTGCGAAGGACGAAGAGGGCGCCGCAGCGGTTTACAGAGAGTTAGGTGCAAACCCCACCTCTGTTCAGGGACTTAATGCCTGTTTAGCTTACGGTAGCTTACCTGGCCATCAGTCTAGTGCCGCAGACGCCGTCAAAGCGTATGTGCAAGCTCTCCTTAAATCCAAATACCAAACTTGGATAGAGCTACCACCTGAACTTCGTCCTGCTTGGTGGCGTGAGTGTTTTGCAAAACCAGTAGTGCTGCTTCTACGCGCGCTGTACGGCCACCCAGAAGCAGGCGGACTGTGGGAGAAACACCTTAAGGAGGTTCTTAGGAATATGGGTGGACAAGAACTGCCGGAATACCCAGGTAACTTTTGGTTTCCTGAGACTAAGCTCCTTCTTTCCACTTACGTTGATGATCTTACCCTCTCTGGACCACAGGAGGAGCACCAACCGTTTTGGGATGCTTTGTGTAAGGTTGTTGATGTAGAACCCCCTGAGCCTGTGTATCGGATCTTAGGTCGCAACCATTGCACTATCAACGCCGAGCCTGCTGCCCTAGGCGCATTAAGGGGTGCCATGGCGTTTGATATGTTTGACTATGCGCAACAGACCGTAGACCTTTACAAGGGCCTCACTGGCCTTAAGGCTCTAAAGCATGCTGCCACTCCCTTTGCTCCAGAGGCTTCACTTCCTGTGAGCCAAGAGGAGATCGCCGGGGAGCTTGCTCCTAATGCATGTAAGGTGTTAATGAAGGCCCTTTGGCTAGGCAGACTTGCGCGTCCTGACTTAGTCAAGCCGATAGGTGACCTCGCGACCAAGGTGCAAAAGTGGTCGAGGAACGATGATAAGAAGCTTCTTCGCCTGATAAGCTACATCGATTCCACTAAGACCCACCGCCTTGTAGGCACTGTATCGGACGGGCCAAGGGAGCTGCATCTTGCGCTCTACGTTGATGCCGACTTTGCAGGGGAAAGGGACGATGCCAAATCCACCAGTGGAGGTTTCTTAGTCCTAAAAGGTCCCAACACCTTCTTTCCTCTTGCATGGGTGTCCAAGCGCCAGACGTCTGTGAGTCGCAGTACCACAGAGTCCGAGATTGTGTCTTTAGCTCATAGCCTCTTCCAAGAAGCACTTCCGGCATTGCAGCTCTGGCAGACCATCCTCGACTATCCGATCAGGTTAGTCATTCATGAGGACAACCAGGCTACGATCCTAGTTGCAAAGAAGGGCTATTCACCGAAGCTTAGGCACATAGCGCGCACCCATAAGGTCAATTTGGGTTCCATCTCTGAGGTGATTGATGAGGATGATGTAGACATTGAGTATGTCGATACAAACTTGCAGGCTGCCGACATCTTCACCAAAGCACTTCCACCACAAAAGTGGGATAATGCGTTGAAGTTGTTAGGCATGCGCCAGAAGCTTCCCGAGGTTCTGGTAGACACGAGACAACTCAAGACCAAAGCCGGTAGTGGCCCTACCACCTCTCCCACTTCGGGGTCTAGTCCCAAGTAGCGACGTTCACTTCTGCACAGCTTGCCGGAGGGAGCTGCTTTTAGCGCTCTTCCGCTAGGGGGGCTGCCGTAGGCGCCCGTGTGCTTAGGGGGGCTGCTTTAAGCGCCCCATTGTACAGTTCCGTAGTCTGCAGTTGACTCTGGCGAGGGGGGAGTTAAAAGAACACGACCCCAGAGACCCAGCAGAGCATGTAGGAGAGACTAGTTGCAGAGGGTTTTCCCTGCAGTGTTTCAAGTGCGACTTCGGATTATGTTTGGTTCAAGAAAAAGAAGGGCAATGCAGCTAGATGCCCTGGTTCTTTAGAGGGTTGGCCGGGTTTAAGTACCTTCCTTCCCTCTTGATTAAGGTTGCTGAAAACAGGGGCACGCGCTGCGTATAGGGTTTACGGCTTGCTTGCGAAGGGCTTGCGCGTGAGCACTGGCCGCCAGCACGACTCCACCATCCGTGGCAGCTCCAACGGCCCCCAACCCCTTTCCGCGCACGCCAGCTCCCCCCCCCCCGGGTGCGGCTTAAATGGGGTATTATCGCCAGCTGAAACTGTGGGTTTTCACGCCTATAGTATTTAATATAGACAGGCAGATGGCGATTATATCCTGGGTCTGTTCGGTGGATGGTCCCGGGCCCGAATTAAATAATTTAAATAATTTAAATAATTTAAATAATTTAAATCCTGGGGAGGGGGTCTGGGGGGGGTTCCGGGGCCCCGGGACCCTCCCCCAGGATTTAAATTATTTAAATTATTTAAATTATTTAAATTATTTAATAATTTAAATAATTTAAATAATTTAAATAATTTAAATAATTTAAATAATTTAAATCCTGGGGAGGGGGTCTGGGGGGGGGTTCCGGGGCCCCGGGACCCTCCCCCAGGATTTAAATTATTTAAATTATTTAATTATTTAAATTATTTAATTGGGGCCGGGAATTAAATACTTTAAATAATTTAAATATGGGGGAGGCCCCCGGATTTAAATTATTTAAATTATTTAATTCCCGGCCCCAATTAAATAATTTAAATAATTTAAATAATTTAAATCCTGGGGAGGGGGTCTGGGGGGGGTTCCGGGGCCCCGGGACCCTCCCCCAGGATTTAAATTATTTAAATTATTTAAATTATTTAAATTATTTAAATTATTTAAATTAGTTAATTGGGGCCGGGAATTAAATAATTTAAATAATTTAAATAATTTAAATCCTGGGGAGGGGGTCTGGGGGGGGTTCCGGGGCCCCGGGACCCTCCCCCAGGATTTAAATTTAAATTATTTAAATTATTTAAATTATTTAATTGGGGCCGGGAATTAAATAATTTAAATAATTTAAATAATCCCCCAATAATTTAAATTATTTAAATTATTTAATTGGGCCCGGGAATTAAATAATTTAAATAATTTAAATAATTTAAATAATTTAAATAATTTAAATCCTGGGGAGGGGGTCTGGGGGGGGTTCCGGGGCCCCGGGACCCTCCCCCAGGATTTAAATTATTTAAATTTTTTTAATTATTTAAATTATTTAATTGGGGCCGGGAATTAAATAATTTAAATAATCTAAATAATTTAAATAATTTAAATAATTTAAATCCTGGGGAGGGGGTCTGGGGGGGGTTCCGGGGCCCCGGGACCCTCCCCCAGGATTTAAATTATTTAAATTATTTACACTATTTAATTTATTTAATTGGGGCCGGGAATTAAATAATTTAAAATTAACTTATTTAATTGGGGCCCGGAATTAAATAATTTAAATAATTTAAATAATTTAAATCCTGGGGAGGGGGTCTGGGGGGGGTTCCGGGGCCCCGGGACCCTCCCCCAGGATTTAAATTATTTACATTATTTAAATTATTTAATTGGGGCCGGGAATTAAATAATTTAAATAATTTAAATAATTTAAACAATTTAAATAATTTAAATAATTTAAATCCTGGGGAGGGGGTCTGGGGGGGGTTCCGGGGCACCGGGACCCTCCCCCAGGATTTAAATTATTTAAATTATTTAAACTATTTAAATTATTTAATTGGGGCCGGGAATTAAATAATTTAAATAATTTAAATCCGGGGGCCTCCCCCATATTTAAATTATTTAAATTATTTAATTGGGCCCGGGAATTAAATAATTTAAATAATTTAAATAATTTAAATCCTGGGGAGGGGGTCTGGGGGGGGTTCCGGGGCCCCGGGACCCTCCCCCAGGATTTAAATTATTTAAATTATTTAAATTATTTAATTGGGGCCGGGAATTAAATAATTTAAATAATTTAAATTATTTAAATCATTTAAATAATTTAAATCCTGGGGAGGGGGTCTGGGGGGGGTTCCGGGGCCCCGGGACCCTCCCCCAGGATTTAAATTATTTAAATTATTCAAATTATTTAAATTATTTAATTGGGGCCGGGAATTAAATAATTTAAATAATTTAAATAATTTAAATAATTTAAATCCTGGGGAGGGGGTCTGGGGGGGTTCCGGGGCCCCGGGACCCTCCCCCAGGATTTAAATTATTTAAATTATTTAAATTATTTAAATTATTTAAATTATTTAAATTATTTAAATTATTTAATTCCCGGCCCCAATTAAATAATTTAAATAATTTAAATAATTTAGATATTTTAAATCCTGGGGGAGGGGGTGTGGGCGGGGTCCGGGGCAGGGAGTTAAATAATTTAAATATGGGGGAACCCCCTGGATTTAAATTAATTAATTCCGGGGGTCCCGGCCCTTTTCCAGGATTTAATTATTTAAATTACTTAAATGGGGCCGGGAAGTAAAACCCCACCTACCCTCCCTCACCCATCCCTGCCACCCACCGACCCTCAGCGCCCACCCAGCGTCCCAACCCCCACCCCCCCTTTCTCCCACTTCACCCTCCCTCCACCTGCTGCCCACCCTACCTCCCAAACACCCTCCCACCACCCTCTCACCCACCACTTCAAGGGCTAGGGATCCCACACATCTGCGGGCAAAATCTGGCGGAAGTGATCCGCCACCGAGCAAAAAGCCTGTAAACCAACAGATGTGCGAAATCCGTGGCCCTTTGTTTAATGCGGTATTTACAGGCTTTGTGCTCGGTGGCGGATCACTTCCGCCAGATTTTGCCCGCAGATGTGTGGGGTCCCTGGCCGTTGTTTTAACGCGGTATTTACAGGCTTTCTGCTCGGTCGCGGCTCGCAGGGATTAGGGGACACCCCTTGCGATTTGTGATTTTGGAACTTATTTGTTATAACAACCTTTAGGGGGAACACCACGACTTGCGATCTGTGATTTTGGGATCTGAGTTCTTACACACCTTCCCTCCACCCCCTGCCCACCCTACCTCCCAAACACCCTCCCACAACCCTCTCACCCACCACTTCAAGGGCTAGGGATCCCACACATCTGCGGGCAAAATCTGGCGGAAGTGATCCGCCACCGAGCAAAAAGCCTGTAAATACCGCATTAAAGACAGGGCCAGGGATTTCGCACATCTGTTGGCAAAAGCTGGCGGAAGTGAGCAGTCGGTACTTCCGCCAAAATTTGCCAACAGATGTGCGAAATCCCTGGCCCTTTGTTTAATGCGATATTTACAGGCTTTTTGCTCGGTGGCTGATCACTTCCGCCAGATTTTGCCCGCAGATGTGTGGGATCCCTGGCCGTTGTTTTAACGCGATATTTACAGGCTTTCTGCTCGGTCGCGGCTCGCAGGGATTAGGGGGACACCCCTTGCGCTCTTCGGTTTTCTGATCTGAGTTTTCACAAGACCTTAGGGGGACACCCCTTGCGATCTGTGATTTTGTGATCTGAGTTCTTACACAACCTTCCCTCCACCTCCTGCCCACCCTACCTCCCAACCACCCTCCCACCACCCTCTCACCCACCACTTCAAGGGCTAGGGATCCCACACATCTGCGGGCAAAATCTGGCGGAAGTGATCCGCCACCGAGCAAAAAGCCCGTAAATACCGCATTAAACAAAAAGGGCCAGGGATTTCGCACATCTGTTGGCAAAATCTGGCGGAAGTGAGCAGTCGGTACTTCCGCCAGAATTTGCCAACAGATGTGCGAAATCCGTGTCCCTTTGTTTAATGCGGTATTTACAGGCTTTTGGCTCGGTGGCGGATCACTTCCGCCAGATTTTGCCCGCAGATGTGTGGGATCCCTGGCCGTAGTTTTAACGCGGTATTTACAGGCTTTCTGCTCGCAGGGATTAGGAGGACACCCCTTGCGATTTGTGATTTTGGAACTTATTTTTTATAACAACCTTTAGGGGGACACCACTTGCGATCTGTGGTTTTCGGTTCTGAGTTTTCACAAAACCTTAGGGAGACACCCCTTGCGATCTGTGATTTCGGGATCTGAGTTCTTACAAAACCTTGGGGGGGACACCCCTTGCGATTTGCGGCGTTGGAATTCATTTGTTATAAAAAGCTTTAGGGAAACACCCCTTGCGATTTATTATTTTGGAACTTGTTGTTTCAACGAACCCTTAGGGGGATATCCCTTGCGATCTGGGTTTTTGGGATCTGAGTCTGTACAAATCTTGGGGCGACACCCTTGTGAGCTGTGATTTTATCTGTGTTTTTGCAGAACTTCAAAGAAAAAGATTTCTTGCCGACGCAGGGGTAGATGGAGCTCTCTTGTCTTTGGTGAAGTTGAAGGGGCCTGTCTGCTGTGCTGAGATGGACCTCTCTCCCGTCTCATTACATGGGAGGAAGCTCTCAATCATTTCTTGTGGAGGATGAAGTAGAAGACTTTTCTTGTTGGAAGCAAGGGGAGCCCTGGCTTCTCTTGATAGGAGCGAAGTCTCTTCAATCTTCTTAAGATAAAAGCGACTTACCAAGAGGTAAAGTCTCTCTCTGCTCAAATAATGCTCTCGTCGCTTACCAAAATATCTTGGAGTGAGTTCTCTTCCTGCTTCACAGCAGGGTAAGGTAGAGGGCTTGGGCTTCTCGTTGCGTTTTGAAGGCCACGGGGAGGACTGGCTTTTCTCTTGTCAAAGTTTGAAATTTGGAAAAGCTCTATCCTTCCTT